CAAAAAACAATTGAAATCAGTACTTTGTGGAGGTGATGGTAAATAATGCATGATTGATTATAAGTTTTTTTTAAAGATTTATTTGTTTTTATTACAAAGTCAGATATACAGAGAGGAGGAGAGATAGAGAGGAAGATCTCCTGTCCGATGGTTTACTCCCCAAGTGAGCACAACAGTCAGTGCTGTGCCAATCCAAAGCCAGGAGCTAGGAACTTCCTCCAGGTCTCCCATAAGGGTGCAGGATCCCAAAGCATTGGGCCGTCCTTGACTGCTTTCCCAGGCCACAAGCAGAGAGCTGGAAGGGAAGTGGAGCTGCCGGGATTAGAACTGGCGCCCATATGGGTTCCCAGCGTGTTCAAGGTGAGGACTTTAGCTGCTAGTCCATGCCACTGGGCCCGATTATTTGTTTTAATAAATAATCTATGATATATGCTTTTATAAGTTCCTTTCATTTATGAGCTTTCCTTTTAATTCTATACTCTTGATATTTTAAGTGATATTAGTTTGTTCGTGTTTAGTGACAACTGATTTTGGATATAAGTAAACCACTTGTTTAACTGCATGTGCTGCCAAACACAGAGTTCCTGGCTTCAACCAGGTAACTGCAGGTTCGAATGAATAGTAGCTTGCTGAAAATATTTTCTCTGAAGTAAAATAATAATGATGTTTTTAGGATCATTTTTGTAATCATTCTCTTATAATGAAGTAAAATGAAACAATTGGATGTTGTACAAAAGCTTGTGGTGATTTGTGTATAAATAAAGAAGGCATTTTTTCTGATTTGTCCATTATAAGCATCATGATGTAGTGGTCCATGCCGTCTCGTCCTCTTTGCATCCTTTGCAAGCGCACCAGTCAGCCTGAACTGGTCTCCAGTAACCTGCCATTTGGTTGGTAATTACAAGGGTTTATATATTTGTCAAACTCACATATTGTATATTTAAGATGGTCCCCTTGATAGTATATAAACTATATGTTCATCAGTTCACAAGAAAACATGCAAAACTATTTTCGCAGTTTTTCCCTTTCCTTTCTCTACTGATCTACTAAACTCAAAGTTTTATTTCAACATCGTAATTATTTACATTATAACACATTTCATCAATATTATTATCATTCAATGATCTTTAATGGTAACATTTTTCAGAAAAGATAACCAGGAGAAGTTATTAATTGGTTTGCTCATACACTAATTATGAGGAAAGAACTCAACTGTCTGGCGTTAATTGGCCCTGTGACTTGCCATGTGCCTGGACTACCTGTACTAAAGAGCTCACTGAGCAAACACTTTAGTGATGAGTGCAAAGAACCGTCATCATTGTAGTTATAAAGGTTGGCATTCTGAATCTTAAGAAAAAACTGTTCATATTTACAGAAGGAATAACAGGTGTTTGTTTCATTTGTTAATTTCTGGAGGGAACACTGTGCGGGTAACAGAGCTGAATTTAAAGACATTTGTAGGTGGAAGAGTTTGGATATGTTTGTTTTATTCTAGGACATTCTAGAAATCAAAGAAAGATATTTTCTACTGCTGGTATTTTAGATCCTTTAGTAGAGTCTGGTTCTGGCCGTCTGGAAAGCGTTGTCTGGCTGTGGGGTATCTTCGCACTCGTAGCTTTTGCAGAGTCGCATGTACAGGGTGCAGTCTAAAGCCCAGTTGGCCCAGTGCAAATGCAAGGTCCATGCTGCAGCTTCACAGTCAAGCAGGATTTAAGAAGAGAAAATCATGAGCCATCTAATGGATGCCACTTCTCTTTTATGAGAAAAAAGGGTAAGTTTTCAAGCCCATTGAATTACTTCCTTTTGCCTCTCATGCAGGAACTGGCAGCTGCTGTTTTCTGGTTTTGTCTACTGAAAGCAAATTCCAGGGGCATCATTCCACACAAGGGGTGAAAAAGTTTGTCACTGACAATTCCAGACTGCTTTATACATCAGCTCTGTCATAACAATGAGACACAATAACAGGGGCAGATGTATTGTTTCTAATACTTGCAGACTTTAATTTGCAACATTTCCAGGCAGCACAAGGACAGGAACTTCCTTCCAAGGACAGGGACACATGCAATCAGTCTCGGCACTGGCGACACTTAATATGCTGATCCTGATCATATCAATGTTGGTTTTTGAGGACCTATTGTCACACCTGAATGCTACCCACCTTCACTGTGGGGTTTGGGTCATGAACAATGTGAGGAGTTGGGGAGAGAGAAGCAAAAACTTTCAGGAATATTCTAGAATAAATTCTAAGGTCCTTTCCTCCTCCTGCATTATGATTTTTGCCTTATCCTTATTCTTTCGCCTTATCTGTACTTTTTTCTCACAATTACTTTTCAAGCATGCATGCAAACTCAATTAAAAAAAGAAGAAGAAAGAAAGCACATTTTCTTTAAGCTATCCTGAAGTTCAAATCTGTTTGAATCAGGATACATGCTGAAATAGCAGAGACTGCAATCATTATTTGTATCTGGTTTTGTGACTTTTTCTTGATCTTACATAGATGATTTACATCTGAAAAACTTGGCTATAGATCAGCTTTTTCCACTTTGTCCTCTGTTCAGACGTAGAAATGGAGAATGGGAGCGGCAGGTAAGGGCAGAGAACATCACCAGACAGAGAGACAGGAAGTACTCAAGCACTGAGTCTGTCTATGCTTACGATGGGTACAAGCAAGACGTGGCTGAAACCTAGGTGAACAGAAGCAGTGTGAGTACAAGGTGGAAGCCAGCTGGACGCAGAGGATTAGGGACCATGGTGAGATTCTCCTTCGTTGTACATGGAAACCACTGTAATTATTTCACTGAAGGTTTGAATCATCCTATCCTAAAGTCCCCACAATACATTTTTGAGAGATAGTACCCGGACGAGAAGCAGGAGTAGAGGAAATAAGTGAGAAGAGATACTAATAACTGATTAGGAGTCCTCACTACCTATACAGTGAGAATAACTGTTTGAGTGTGACTGAATGAGGATCCAATCACATGATTCTAGAATTAGCCATTGCAATACCGGTGTTTATAACATCTCAATCTGAATGTCTGATTTATTCTTAATACATTGCATTATCTACTTCTCCTAGAAACCTACAGAAAGATTATATTATTTATAATACTGTTATGTTTCTATAGTATTATAATTGTATGTAAAATATATAATTTACAGTATTATTTTCCATGTGAGTACCACTGGACTTATTACATGTCAAACAGCTGGGTAGTTCTGCGGTTTGAGTCCAGGCATTGTGGTTGCATATCTGACTTCTCTGTTAATACACTTGCCTTTCATCTCTGGCTTTGAATATTTCTGTTTCTGAAAACTTGTTTGGGAATCTGAATTTTAATTGAATACATAATGCATCTTTTTGCATGAATTTTCACTCTTCTCTGACAATTTGATCCTTTAGGAAATTGTTCCATATTCCATAAAAATGGAAAAATTATAAAAGCAAAGAAACAATTTTCAGAAAGTGCTTTAGTAAAAACTGTCTTAGATATTAAGATAGCAAACCAGAAGAAATTATGAAAGCCATTATATTGTTGAGGAGCAGTTTATCTCTGTTAACCTGGTAAAGTAATAATATAGCATAAAAAATAATTTTTAGCCATAAGCTCTATCTTCAAACACAAGCACAGTGAGCATATTTGTACACAAAAAAATGACAGAGCTATACACATATGCACATATTGCTATGTTTCTGGAAGACCACATAGGGGAAAAAAAAAGTTGTTATTTCTGGAGCACAGGTTATCAAATCAAAGTTTGGAAAGACTTCTTTTTTCCAAGTTGCTCTGCTTACCTGGAATATTTGACCATCATCATGAACAATTGTAATAGACAATTGAAAGGTAAATTATAATATTTATCAATAATAGCGAGTAAATCCAACTTTTGGATAACAGAATCATACTCAAAAAAATTGTTCTAAAGGTTCTATAAATACTTCCAATAAACACATAGATTATCCCATCACTAAACTGATAAAATATATAAAGAGTGGAATAGTTGCTACAATACTATGCTGAAAATCACAAAACAATGTGATATTTTATGATTTCAGTCATAGAAATTATAAATATTCGAACCCCAAATAGAATAAATATAAAATCATATGCTGCTACTGTGTAATTATTTTCAAATCATTTTTCAAAAATATATCCTAGGGAAATAGGATTCATATATTAAGAGGTACACATACGATTATTCAAAAACATCACTATGAAGGTTGTAGATACAACAGAAATTTCATACGACTTCAGACCCATACACAGATAAGCTCAACATTCTGATAACACAATCGTGTGACTAAAAGAATAAAGTGTAGTTTACTTCCTTTATTCCAGCTTCAAAGTACTACTCAGATATTTGTATATTGTTAACAAACTTATCCTGAAATTCTTGAACTAAAGAATACTAGCAAAAGTTGTCAAATAGATTCCTTGTAAAGTTGATTTTATCAGAAACACTACTAGTGTCTAAAATAATGGACCCAAAAATGATTGAGTTGACCAGAGATTTTTTTAACAATGGTTCTGTTACACTATTAGTGCTTAATTGTATTTAAATAGTGGCTTTCACATTTTAAAGCACAAATATGCACAAAAATGTATGCATATGCATATATTCTTAATTCTATGGAATTTAAATATGTGTATTTTGTTTTTTTAATATGTAAAGTCTGAGGTTGAAAGTTGTTAAGTCTGTCCCAAGAAATACAAAAGCTCCTCATTTCTTAATCTGCCTAGGATTTAAAACCTGTTTATTATTTTTTTCCCAAAATGCAAAGTTTTGGTCCAACCTAATTTGTTTGAACGTATTGAGCATTTGCAAATCTAGGTAAAGCAGATTTTTCTCTCCTGAAAGTTGAATTGGAGGCTATAGAACTGGGGGAAAAAAAGAGAGGGATATAAAAGCCAGCCCACTGATCTTTCTAAGATTTCATCTCTTTTCTTCTTGCAGGTTAAACAATTGTTAAAGGTGTAAAATCCATAGCCACTAATAAAGTGATGAATAGCAGCGTAACTGAGTTCATTCTGTTTGGGTTGACACAGGATACTGGAAAACAGAAGACAATATTTGGTATCTTCCTGATTCTTTACCTTGCAACTCTGTTGGGAAACTTTCTCATCGTAGTGACTATTAAAACCAGCCAGGCCCTTGCAAGCCCCATGTATTATTTTCTATTCTACCTTTCATTTGCTGATGCTTGCTTCTCTACAACCACGGCCCCAAGACTGATCGTGGACGCCCTTTCTCAGAAAAAGATCATCTCCTATAATGAGTGCATGACTCAGGTCTTTGCAGCCCATTTCTTCGGATGCATGGAGATTTTTGTGCTCATCCTCATGGCCTTCGATCGTTATGTAGCCATCTGTAGGCCCCTGAGATACACAGTCATCATGAACCAGCGGGTCTGTGGTGTGCTGGTAATACTGGCCTGGCTGGGATCTTGCATCCATTCTTCAGCACAGATTTTCCTAGCTTTGAGGTTGCCTTTCTGTGGCCCAAATGTAATCGATCACTATTTCTGTGATTTGCAGCCTTTGTTAAAGCTTGCCTGCATGGATACATATGTGGTAAATCTGCTGGTTGTATTGAATAGTGGGGCCATATGCATGGTGAGTTTCCTGGTCCTGCTCATCTCCTATGTTGTCATCTTACACTCTCTGAGAAACCACAGCACAGAAGGGAAGCGAAAAGCACTTTCCACATGTACATCCCACTTTATCGTGGTTGTTATCTTTTTTGTTCCATGCATATTTATTTACACACGTCCACCAACCACTTTTCCAATAGACAAGATGGTGGCTGTGTTTTATACAATCGGGACACCCTTACTTAACCCTCTGATCTATACGCTGAGGAATGCAGAAGTGAAAACTGCCATGAGAAAATTGTTGTGTAGAAAAGTATAAATTCCATTGATAAACATCTATTATTATTACTTTAACTGTTTTCTTACAGTTTATGTTACTGCATGATCTATAAAGAGAAAATACTATTTAAAAACATTCAATGCATTGGTGTATACATCTGTGTAGACATACACACACCACACAGTGTTTTCTGAAATATTGCAAAGTGTATGAATGCTTGGAGCTCATAATCACTTGGACAAACCTTGATAGCCCTTACTTGAATTCTGCCTACAGTTGATACTATCCACAAGCTCTCTCCTTATGCAAACTGAAATGGCAACTTTCTTTCGAATATAATGTTTTGTCTGCAAAGAAATACTCTAACAGATCCTGGTGCGATAGTCTAGTGGCTATAGTCCTCGCTTTGAACATGCCGGGATACCATATGGGTGCCAGTTCGTGTCCCAGAGGCCCTGCTACACATCCACTCCCTGCTTGTGACCTGGGAAAGAGGTTGAGGATGGCCCAAAGCCTTGGAACCCTGTACCCACATGAGAGACACAGAAAAAGCTCCTGGCTTTGGATCAGCTCAGCTACAACCATTGTGGCCACTTGGGTGGATCCCAAACTATAGCAATTCCTAGAATGACCAATGAAAACCCATAAGTAAGACCTCTTGGGTATGATAGGTACGGTCAATTACCCATCCACATTCTGAAGTTTTCACATCAATTTCCAACATGAAGAGTAAAACCAAGAGAGCATTGGGTTCAGCAAATATGCACATGGATATGATCATCATAAGTGGTGATGAGAAAAGGGGTAGAATGGGAGAAATGTAGTTTTCTTATATTTTGAAGTAAATTTTTATTGGATACACTGTAGCTTAGCTTCCTGTTTCTGTGTTTAGCTGGACACCAATAGTATGAAAGAAACAATTTGTTTTGCCATTAGTCATATGTAAGAACTCAAAATTCAGTCATGAGAAATATCCAATATTTATTAGGTCATGTCTAGTGTTTCTCAACTTTGTACTCTTAGTTTTATATAAGAATACTTTAAACTGCTAATTCATCTTTAAGACACTTTACTAAGTGACTTTCAAAACAGTTATGGATAAAAATAATCAAAAATAAATCTGATCTGATGTAAGAACAAATTTGAAATTAATGCATAATTTTTCAAAATGCACATTTTCCATAATCTTTTGAATACATTTTGTTTGAACGGCTTTCAGAATACTTTTGACCCAAACTGGAAATGCCTTTTTAAAAATAGTGTTAATTTTTTTTTATTTGAAAGTCAGAGCTAGAGGGAGAAATTAGAAGAGCTTTTCCACTTGATGGTTCAATGTGCAGATGGCCAGAAGTGCCAGGACTTGGCCAGGGTCAAGTCCGGATTTAGAATCTTCATCCAGAGCTCTCACATGGATGTCAGGGACCCCACTATTTGGGCCATTGTCCACTTCTTTTCACAGGCCAAGTCTAGGAAGCTATTGTGGAATCGAATCATTCAGGACATGAATTGGCAAATATGGGATGCTGGTATCAGAGGAAACAGCTTTACCTGCTATACCACAATGCTTACCTTCAAACATAGTAATACCTCCATAATGTACAATCAATGCTATCATCCTCGACATCTCACTCTTCCTGCCATGCTATTTCAATTCCCACGTTTATGATTTCAATCATATTTGGCACCAAGAAATTCCACTTTAAGATGTAAGAGGAAATACCTGATATACTATGCATGAGCCTTCCACCCACCGAGCATAGATCACAGTCACTTTACTCCAGTGATTCCCAGTAATTCTGACATACGCTGGAGCCTGCACAGTGAGCGCTGTCATTCCAACTACAGTTGTCAGAACTCTGAATATTACACTCACCTTTCTTGTTGAGTAATCATCATGCTCCTTATTTTACACCTTAGAATTGTATTTTTAAAGCATTTGAATCCTGTTCTATCAATCTTATATTTAAGTGCAACTGTTCTTTACGTAAGCAAGACATAAGAAAAGTCAAATTGTAATTCCTAGTTTGTGTTACTCCTTTAATGCAAAGGGAGCAAGTTTTTATCTGCGCTTGATGCAAAACTCAAAACATTCACAAATTATCTCATTACAACATAACACAAAGCCCTAAATCATCTAGGTTTTTCACAGGGCCTCAGTTGAAATTAAAATGATTAATTTGTGATATTAAAGAGTCATAAGTACCCCTTTTCTGATTTAAGCTTCAACTTCAGAGACTAAAAGAAAACCTTGGAGCTGGGGAAATGGCTCAGTGGTTAAGTTCATACCTTTCAAGCACCTGTTTGGGTGCTGGTTCGTTTCCTGGCTGCTACACTTTCCATGGGCACTTACCAGTCCCCTGCTTGTGGCCAGGGAAAGCAGTAGGAGGATGGCTCAAAGTCTTGAGACTCTATACCCATGTTCAAGATCTTGAGGACGCTCCTGGCTCCTGGTCAGCTCAGCTCTGGCCATTGTGGCCATTTGCGGAATGAAACAGTAAGTGGAGGATCTTTCTGTATCTCCTTCTCTCTCTGTATTTGCCTTTCCAATAAAAATAATAATAAATCTTAAAAAGAAAAAAAAAAAACCTAGAAGAGATTACAAGGCATGGGAATAGCAATTAAGACTCAGCTGAGTTGTCTTTTTAACAAGCTGACACACAGTTCTGGGCCTATCACTGTTGCTAGCCTGTTATCAATCTTCCTTTAGATGATTGTTTTTTACAGGACTCTTTAAATTCTTTCTTTGGTTTTCTAATTTTAGCATTCTCAACATAGGAAAATATGTCTCTTCCTCAGCCCAGACCACAGGGAACCAGCAGTCATCTTGAAGCAGCTCTTTATTTCATTTCTCTCTTTTTAAAGTTTAGTTATTTTTATTGAAAAGGTAGGTCCACAGAAAGAATGATCTTCCATCCTCTGGTTCACTCCCCAAATGGTCACAATGGCTGGAGCTGAGTCAATCCAAAGCCAGGAGCCAGGAGCATCTTCACTGCTTTTCCAGCCCATAAGCAGAGAGCTGGATGGGAAGTAGAGCTGCCCGGACATGAACAGGATTCCATGAGAAAACCCAGAGCTTGAAGATGCAAGATTAGCCAATTGAGCCACTGTACCATGTCTGAATTCCTATATATTTTTTCCTTCATCTCTTCTTTCTTCCTTTTTGAAAAGATTTATTTATCTTTATTGGAAAGCCACATCAGATTTACAAAGAGAACAAGACACAAAGAAAGATCTTCTATCTCCTAGTTCACTCCCCAAATGGCTTCAATGGCCAAATATAAGCTGATCTAAAACCAAGAGCCAGGAGCTTTTTCTGAGTCTTTTACACAGGTGCAAGGTCCGAAGACTTTGGGCCATCTCCTACTGATTTCTCAGGCCACAAGCTGGGATCTGGTGGGATATGGAGCAGCAGGGACATGAAACTGCACCATATGGGATCCTGGTGCTTGCAAGATGAAGATTTAGCCATTGAGCTATTGCACTAAGCCCCAGTTATTACTCATAATTGAAATGTTATTATTTTATGGTGCAATTCTATAGACTCTGGGATTCCCCTCCCTGCCCCACCAAATCCTCCTTCTCCCACTTACTCCCTACATATTATTACAGTAATATAGTCCTTCATGAACAGTCCTAAGTCTGTCCTTCTGCTACTTAAGTGTATCCTGACATGGTAGCTATGGACAATAGCAGATAGTCATGTTGTCAAGATATATTGAACAGTTCACTAGGAATTCTTATATTGCTAAGTGACCCTATTGTATGGGACACCTCAGGTCCTCTGTATGGCATCAGCCACTCTCTCACACACTCACCAGTTTTTATATCCTTTATTCTGTTTTGAGAATTTGTATCTTAATCTTTGTCCCTGGTACAAAAAGCAGAGTTATTTGGACAGACTTTGTAATTTCTTAACTATTGTGACTAGTCAAAATCCAACATCTGATTACACAATAAATGCTATTTCATAAACAGAATGTATCAATCCTGAAATTCGATGGAATTTACTTTTAGTTAGGAAGATATTTTCGGTCAAAGGAGTATCAGACACATTTGACACTCGTTTTAGAGATACATTTAGGGGCACAATGCGTACCCTTAAACTTCATGTATAACAGAAAACACACACACACACATACACACACTGCACTACAGATTTGACAGACAGTGACTTTAGGCAATAAAGTCACAGTGTATAGATGGTGAGTGTGGAAGTGACTAGGGCACCTGATACTTCAAAACGCTGGTTGACACAGGGCTCTCCTGTCACAGTTCCGCGGGACTCTGCCAAAATCTCTCAAATCCTCTGTCTCTACCAGAGAATGAGAAGGAAAGAGTCCCTCAAGAAGCCCAACTTTTCAAAGTCTCAACGTAGAGGGAAGCTGATTTGATTTACTGCCACCTCAGAGGGAGCAAATCACTTCAATGTGATCATCGGTTTTAATTTACTCATTTATTTTCTTGCCTCTATGGGTAAATGAATTAGAATCCTGCTTTGGGTCCTTGAGTACAGTATGTCGAAAGCTATGAGAATATGTTGGTATTTTTTCACAATTAGTCATGACACTTTCTTTAGGATTTTGAAAAATCTGTTTTCAGTTGTTGCAATGTGCTATTATTTTTGTTTCATTCTAAACTTGCCTCAGATTAAGTTTTACAAAAAGCTTATTTTGGAATTTTGGATCATTATTTATGGAAAAATATTACTTTGTGAGTAGAAAATGCTGGTAGTTAAAAAAAAAGTGAACCAAATGCCATATCAGAAAGAGAATTTGAAACCCTGTCGAACTTTACTTATTCATAATATTTTACTGAAACAGGAACTCTTTTTAATGAGGGCTGCTTTTGATTACAAAATGCACCTACATGATATATTAAGGAAAATTCTCTATTACACAGCAAGAAAACTAAAACTAAAGCTAACATGATAGTTCCTTTGATTGGCTCTAACTTATCAATCTTCCCATTATTTCACAATGTAAAACTAAAGATTCCACTCTAAAGTTCTGCCTGAGACTTACAGTATATAATTATAATAAAATAAGTGGAAACCAGAAAGCTTTTCAACATCTAAACGGTTATATTTTAATACAATTTTTCTTCTGTATTGATAGGTACTGTGACATTTGCTATATAACTGAAAATCAAACAACTGCTGGAAGCTGTATGCAAGGTTATTACTCTTCCACAGGAAGCCTCAGGAGAACTGGGAAAGAACTGAAAAGAAGACTACTACCAATAGAAACATCCCTCAAATATGAAGTATTCTCTACGGATCAATTTCAGTTCTTCATGTCTATGAACTCTAACATTGTTTATTCATTCATTTAAAGATTTATTTATTTTTATTTTAAAGATAGCATTACAGAGAGAAGGAACAGCATAGAGGGATCTTCCTGTTCACTTCCCAAATGGCCACAATGTCCAGAGCTGAACCAATATGAAGCCAGGAGCCATGAGGTTCTTCCAGGAGACCTGTGCAGGTACAGGGTCCCAAGGTTTGAGCCATCCCTCAGCTGTTCTACAAGGCCATAGGTACTGTGTTGGATGTGCAGCATCTGGGACCAAACTACTGTCCTAAAGGATGTCAGTACCACGTGCGAAGGATTAGCATGCTATGCCAGAGTTATTTTATTTTATTTTTTATACCTTACTTATTGATCATCCAATTTTCTTCCATAAACATCTTTTTGGCTATTTTGGGAATGAAAATGCTCTTGTGTTCTATAATCGTTCAACTTTATTTTTTTTTTAATTTAATAGGTTTCAGGCATAAAAGAAAAGTACTCCTCCTATATACATCAAGTATAGGGAAGGACAAGGAATGTAATGTAAGATTGCTGGTAATTATACAGAAACAATTATATGTTTGAACATTGTTACTAAGAAAATGAGGAGGCTGAGATGAGAATTATAATAGGAGTGGAGAAATCTTTAAGTGGACTTTGGAGACATGATCCGCACTTTCATTGGTTATAAAGAATCAGCCTCCTGTGGGGGATGAAAGCTTGTTTCCAGAAAAAGTTTATTAACAGGCGCCAGCAATAGAAAAGGCTCTCTGAGTTTTATGTGTAAATGAAAGTAACTCAGCATAGTTAGTGCTAGTGAGGGTGCAAGCAAGGGGCTCGCTGTGTGCTGGGAGAGGGGCAAGCAGTACTAAGATGACTTAAGGATTCTATTACCAGTCAAGGAGGATCCTGAGGCAGTCGGCGACCAAGGAACAACACAACAAGCATGAGAGTATTACAATATCCAAACTGCAAACACTAACCTGCAATGCATGTTTTTTTTTTTTTTCATAGAGCTTTCTGGCTACTAGTGGAACTGCATAATGTTCTCAAACATCTCTGAAAGGATTGTTTCTTCTTAAAGGAAAGACGGGTGTTCTTAGCATGACCGTCACTTATCAATCAGCATCTTCTGCTTCTTCCAAAGTTTCTTCATGGCATTTTTCACCTCTGAGTTTCTTAAGGTGTAGATTAAGGGATTTAACATGGGAGTGATGATCGAATCAGACACAGCCATTGCCTTATCTATGGGATAAGTAGCCACAGGTCTCATGTATAAGAAAATACAGGGAACAAAAAACAACACAACCACTGTCAGGTGGGAACAACAGGTAGAGAGGGCTTTGCGCCTCCCTTCAGAGCTGCAAGACTTCAGGGAGCAGAAAATGACTACGTAGGAGGCAACGAGGGTAAGGAAAATGGCTGTGCACATCACTCCACTGTTGAGAATAACTAGCAGCCCCAGGATGTGAGTGTCCGTGCAAGCAAGTGTCAGTAACTGAAACAAGTCACATATAAAGTGATCTATGATATTGGGACCACAGAAGGGTATCTGGTACATGAAGAGAAGCTGTACCATTGCATGGGAAAAGCCCCCCAGCCAGGCTCCCCCCACAAGCAGGCGGCACACTCGAGGACTCATGGTGGTGGTGTAGTGTAGGGGCTTACATATGGCCACGTAGCGGTCATAGGCCATCACGATGAGAAGGATGATCGCCACACCACCAAAGAAGTGCTCTGCGAAGAGCTGGGTCATGCAACCTGCAAGGGAGATGGTCGTGCTCTCAGACAAGGAATCCACGATCATCTTGGGGGCAATGACAGAAGAGTAGGTGACATCCATGAGGGCTAAGAAAGTAAGAAAGAAATACATTGGTGACCTGAGGCTCTGATTTGAGGTGATTGTTACCACGATGAGTACATTCCCCAACACTGTAGCCACATACATGATCAGAAACACAGAAGAAAATATTTTCCGCAGCCCCATGTTCTCTATAAGGCCAAGCAGAACAAATTGTGTCACATTCTTTTGATTTTCCATTAATTGTCTATTAAAAGCTGAGAGTTGAGAAGCCTAAAAAACACAACATATGATTTATCATTGGTGATTATTTTTCTACCTGGGAAGTTCACAGAAGGACAAGTATTTGGCATAGCAGATAAGATACCACTTAGGAGACCAGCATCCGATATTCAACTGTCTGGGTACATTATATGTCATTTTTGTTCCTATTCCCAGTTTTGTTTTAATGTATAAGCACACACACACACACACACACACACACACACACACACACACACGAAGTGATGGCTCCCATATGGGAGACATTTTTTTTTTTGCCTTTTTCATTTATTTACCATTCAAAAATTTGACTCTTTAAGGTATTCTAAATTGAAAGATTAAAAAAAGAGAGAATTACTAACAAATGCTTTTCTCAAAATGATTTCTCTCATTTTGAATACTTCACCCACGTGAAATAAGTTTCTCTTCCTCTTTCTGCTAATATAACGACTTTTACTGTTAATAGCAAACTTGTTTCTACACACATTAGCAATTAAAACACAGTATGCAGTAAGAAATAGAAAATAGTAAACCTATATTTTGAGTATTTGCCTCATTTGAGTAATAGAAAAGACTTGATTATTTTTATATTATAGGTTGGAAGCTTTCTTTCACAGAGTTTAGGAAACTCGATCAATTTTGCGTTTTTAGTCAACAGTGAAGATAGAATTTGGGCTGTACAGTCTGACTCCAGAATCAGTGCTCTGCTTTCATTATACTATAAGTTATCATTCACCAATCACTATTCTTAACAGTATAACTCCTGTGCTGTTTTTTCCTAAAGCAATCTTGTCAGGTAGGCTATTCTTCTTGTCTTCTTCTTGAAAAAAAAAAAAAAACAGAAAAAAAGAAAGAAAAAGCCAATTCTCTTGTAGTTTTGCGATTCTAAGCATTAAATGGATGACATACTGCTTTTCACAGGGAATCAGTAGAGCCATTTCATAAAAGGTTTATCTAGTGCAGAAGGGAAAATTACAAATAATGGTTTTCTTTTTCCTCTGAGAATCCACCTCCTCGACTGTCCATAATTATTTGAGTAGACACCTGCTATTTCAAAAAAAAAAAAAGCTGTCAGGAATAACCAATTCCCTTCTATAAGAGGAAGGTCTAGGAATTTCAAAATAATCTTAATTGAGATATCTTTGAATGAAAGAATGAAAACAGTGGGCGATAAATGAAAGGAGGGAAGAAGGCAGAAGATTTCTATTCAGTAGGACAGATGTGCTAAGGCCATAAGGTGGGAAAGTGTAACAGAAATGAGGGAATTAAAGACGTATACATCACAAGCAAAGAGAGAAGGGGGAAAAATTAAAAGGTACAGCAAAAAAAAAATAATAAAACAAGTGGAAGATATTAAAGTGAAATTTGACTTGCCAAATAACCATTTCCACAATATTTTCTGCTACTTTTCTTTCTGTCTATGAACAGTTTTTGGATACTAACATTGATTTGCCAAATTTTATTTGTTAGTGGTGGGTACCTTTAATTTTAAAAAAATATTTTCAAAAATACACAAATATTTATAACAAGCAAAATAACTATTTCAAACTCAAGTGTAAATTCAACTTCCTGAATCGAAATTCCTTGTTCTGATAGTAAATATTGCTTACAGATAAAGCAAACAGTAATTAAGTGAGGAATACTGATATAATTTAACAGCAAGAAATACATACATGCTTTTTCAAAGAGATTAAACTTTTTGAAAATCATCTATATGTTGTAATTCTGTTATTAACTATATCTGCATATTAAATAATTAATCAAACAATAAAATCCTTACGGTCTTTCCAAAATAGAAAATTTTAAACATGATTCTAAAACCACCTGAGGCGTAACCTATAATCTTATCGCATACAGCATTTACCCATATGAAGTGACATCTTTTCAAGCATTGTATAAAATTTCTTAAACTTGAAGACCCTAACTGTGTAGACAGGCTGCTCAAGGTACAAATGGGAAAAATTAGCCAATGATTAAATATGATCAAAGATTCAGAACTATGTTATACATTACCATCAAAGAAAGAAAGACTTAACACAGAATGGCTAAGATTCTATGAGCCTAATGAATAAATAATCTTCTGAATCACCAAGGGATTTGTATTCTCTCCAATTAAAAACAATTGCCAAAGAGGTCACCAAGTAGAACACTTACCAATTAATTTGTTTCCCTTTGGTTTCCAGTTGACAGTATTTTTAGATTAACATACCTTTCATTCAACTTGTTAGGAATGTGTGTTCTCTGGTCGACCCACCTGGGCTGTAAAATTCTGGAATGACCATGTGAGCAGCTGTGGCAAGGCTCAGAGTTGGGTCATTCTAGACATGAACAGAGCTCTCCAGTGGTGGAGATATTAATGCCTGGTTCGGTGAAATTGCATCCACTTGCTTTAATAACAGGCTCTTTTCAGAGACAAAAACACCACCAACACCAAATTAACACACTGCATCAGTAGCAGAAGTCTAGACCGTTTATCAACCACGTAATCACTCATTCCTACATACTGGCCATCTTCCTGTTCTTTCCAAGTTCACTGGAAATGAGCTAGATGGGAATTGGAGAAGCCAAGAGGAGGGTGGCAGTCTCCAACCGTCGCCCATATGGGATGCAGTGCTGTAGACAGTGGTTTAAGCTTATTACCCAATGCTGGCCTCTTGATTTACTATTTGACTTGTATTCCATTTTGTAGAAATTTTGCATAAGAACAAGCTACCCAAATAGTAAGATAATCAAAACTTTATTCTTTGCACTTTTTATTTACTTACGATACTTATTCATTTTGATGAATCCTTAGGTTGTATTTCAGCACACATATAGACATTATTTATCAGGTTGTCTTAATCTCAATAAGAACTAATAGCATGGCTTTGGTGCAGAGATCATTCAAGGTAACAGGGATAGTCTGAGAAGGAGTTTGGCAGTTGCAAACTGGTCTGGAACAAACTCCACTGTGTGGTAATACATGCAAGGCAACAGTGACCAAACGACAGAGCCCTCAGATGCAGAAATCCACTCTAGGATAATGAGTTCACGGAGTTTGTTCATGAAGGAATCCTGTTCTTCTACCTCTGAGATGTGATGACCTCCTGCCAGGCTCAGGCTCACAGCTAGTTAGCTGTGAAAATGGGGATATGACCTTAGTCTACTGTCACATCAGCAGAGACGTGCTATCCTAAGAAAAGAAAAACACAGGAGGAGCTCAACAGCGTTTCTCTCCCCTTTTCAGAGAGGAAGCGTCTGGGCCACTGTTTTTCTGATTTATATCTGTCTGTCTCTTTTTTATACCTGGTTCTGTGTTGTCACCTTCCTCACACTGGTTCATCGTGTCCAGGTCACTGTAGTTTGGTGGCAACTGTCTCGACAGTGAATGATCCTGAAGATTTGTCTTTACCTGAATATTCATCATAGCTTAGCTTAGTTGTCCACAGATTTGACAAATTTCCTACTTTTCCTAAAATAGTAAATTTCCTGTAATAATCTTTTAATGTATCCTCCTTTTGGGCATCTCTTTCGCTTTGATCTTTTCTGAAAGGTCTCAACATTGCTGTGCTTTAGTTGAGAGTTCTAGAGATGTTGCACTCTCTCTAAACAGACTTCCAGACATCTCAAATACGCAAGGAGTAAGAAAAAGAGAAATGAATAATGGTTCCTAACCAGGCAAGGCACTAGGGATAGAAACACCATGCAAAGAGGTTCTTCAAGTAATTACTTCAGAAAATCTCTAGTAAGTTGGAGTCTGCCAGTAAGAATCACTTTCAGTAGCTCAAGGCACTATTTCTTAAAGCTTCTTACCAAGCAATGGTTGGCTATTACAAGAAGTTACCTATAGGGAGTTGATAAAGAAGGCCTGCCAATGTGGAAGTGACCATGGCAACATACCTGTTAAATAATTGAGGTATTGCATCAGCCTTTGAAACCAGCAGACCCTGTTGGAAGGAAATTTTGACCATAATTTACGGGACACCTCAGGAAACATAACTTTTGCTTCCTTGCTTCATGAGTCAGAAGCCAGGGATGGAGTTCCCAGGACTACATAAGTAGGACTGATCTTAAAACATGCATTGTCATCACCTCTATAATCCATAGCAAAGGGAGGAGTTAACAATTATCCACCTGCAGGCAGGTCTCTGCTCCAGAACTCAGCCGGGGTTGCGCAGGGATTTCCACAGCCTTCCTACCAAACATACAAGTTTTTTTTTTCTTTTTTCTGGCTGTCATTCAGGAAAGTACAGCTTTGTCCATAAGAGAGAAAATTAAAAAGACCTTGCTTGGCCACACTGAAATACAAACACCGCATGACATACGGAAAGCCTGGATTTGCATGGGCTGCTCCTGCTGGCATCCTTAGGAAAAAATAACAGAGCACTTGAAAATATCATTTCAGCTGAGTGATTGAGCTAGTAGCTGGAAATTCAACAACAATAGCAATAAAAACAAAAATACAGAGTTCTCTTCAATCTTAATGTCAATTCACCACCAAGAGCTCATGCAGCCTGTGCCGTCTCTCACTCAGGGACTGGGTTTAGCATATACAGAAGATATTGAGTATCTGTGAGTATCTTTGAGAAGGTCACAAGAAGTGAGCTGGGACAAAGGGGAAATCTGGAGCCTGTAGCACAGGATGGGTGCTGGGTGTTTGCTCTAATGTGCTTTGGCTGCTGGCCAATCTTGGCTGTGGCTTCACACAATGACTCCGGCTTTGTTCACTGATGGTGATGGGTTTGAACTGGTTTCTTAACGCTTAAAACCATGTCATTGGTATTTGTAGGTGAAAGAACCTCCTAAGAAACCACAGTATGCTCAAGCTTCCACATTCATGGATTCAGCAAAAGAAGTGGTTTTCAATAGTATTTGCCAAAATATGCTTACCAAATATGCATACACTTCATTTCTTTATTATCATACCTTAAACAATATACCAATTATTTACATACCTTTTACATTGAGCTAGCTATTGTAAATAATTCAGAGATGATTTA